CCGCCACCGAATCTCCCCCTTGAGCAGACCCCCCCTCTTCCCCCCCCCACCTCCAATACGGTGGATACTAAATATCCTGCATGACCCGAAGTACCTCATACCTCGGGAATCAGGGTATCAATTGCCGTATGACAAGGTCATACAGATTTTTAATATCAACGGTAGTAATTAAATGCTTCTTGGCATATACTTTTATGGCAGCCGGTGAACTCCTTTTCAGAGGTTTGCTTGGATCACCTGGTTGGGGGGAGTCTATACTTCAAAGACTTGCCATCTACAGAAAGGAAGTAGAGAGGCGCCAAGAAACAGCGTGCGCTCTTCAGTATCCGCGCCCTGATGCAACGTTTTAGCCAATCCCATTCTGATCCGCGGGCACATGCCGCAGGCCCCAACAATCCTCAGAAGCTCAGCCACCTGTACAGTAATGGAGGTTGTAGGTTGCAGCATAAGCTTAGATCTGGTAGTTTGTGGTATTTGTGTCTGGGGCAGTGTCTAATCAGTAGCTGCAAATATGGGTGTGAGCCTTTAAAGGTGCAGTGCCGTCTCCTAAGCAACGCCTGTCGCCGTCACCCCAACCTTGGACATTTCCCCTTAGGAACACATGCGTACTGGGTGGGCATGTCTAACAGCAGGGATCGGTCCGTGTGACATGGCTTCACGGTTGCAGAAAGGATTTGCTTATGTCTAGGCCATTCTGAACGTGCTCAAGGGCTTGCGCTGGGCTTGATCTTAGCCTGATTTGTTGTAGACTCCGGTAGCTCACTGTTTCACTTGTACAGTCACCACCAAGCCATTCGGCCGGGTGGTTTACTATCGATGCAAGGACGCGACGTTTATCCATTTTGGGGTATGAGATTCCTTGTATTTCTGTAAACAGAATCCTCTTTTAGTGTGGGCTAAACAGAGAATCTGAGAGAATCTTATGATGTCGCGGACCCTCTACTCCCTCTGCAGCATGCCTCAGAGGTCTACCTTAGGCATAGTTGTCCAGCGTACTATTGGTCCTCATCCGGGGAAAGTTATTGTACTCTATTTGCTCAAGCTCCTACACCCTGAACCCCCAAACCCGACCCCTAAACCCAAACCCTCAACCCTAAATCCCAAGACTTCAAGCCCTAAACCCCCACACCCAAGCACCTGACAGTCGCGCCCTCGAACGCCACCAGTGGGCCAGCAGCAGCCGCCAAGGCTCGATTGACCGTGTAAGTCGCCCAGTGCCATTACCGTTCCCTAAGGGTCCAAGGACTCACATAACAGGGCTTTGGGGCCGTAATGCCCTTGATATTATAGCAGTTGGGCCCTGAAACCCTATTATTTGGTTTCCCGGACCTTTATCTCCACCACTACTACTACTACTACTACTACTACGACGATGACGACGACGACGACGACGACGACGACGACGACGACGACGACAACAACCACGACGACGACGACGACTGCTACTGCTACTGCTACTTCTACCCCTACTCCTACTCCTACTCCTACTCCTACTAGTAGAAATGACAAGTTACTCTTATGATTACTCTTGCTGTTAGTGTTGATGATACCATTACTTGTACGGCAACTGCTGGCATGTCTCTTTGTTAGAACTGTTACCATGACGGTTGTGCTTACGGTTCCAGGGCTTTAGAGTTTCGCAGGCTTTTCTGACTTCTGTACCTGTTTTTAGCCCGATGCTACACTAAACTACGCCGCTTTCTGGAGCAGTTGCCCTAAAACAGAGGCTCTCGGACTTACCTAGCGAGACTCCGTCGCGGCGGGTGTCGGACAACGCAGAGGCGCGGCTCCAGAAACAATAGCAGGCAGGCATGACTTACACGTTCTGATCTTGACACCGGATGTGGTTGTAGGATACCATGTGAAGGAAGCTACCTCATGCAACTGAAAAGGCGCCCAAGATAGCAAGCTCCACGTCGAAATGTGGTACATGCACGGATCTAGACTGTCAAGGGGTCGGGGTCGTGTGTTTGATCCTTTAGCACGATCCCGCTCAGGGACCGTAAAGCCTTCTGGGCCCGTAAACCCTAAACCTAGGATGGATTCTTTCCCAGGCTCCATACCCAGTTTTCACCCAACCTTAGAATCAGCGACTTGAAGCCCAACACGGTAATATGTCTTGACAACAAAACCGTGGACCCTTTACCCTAGACTCCCTAGACCTCATTATAAACCTTAAGCGCAAAGTTATGGTTCCTGGCATATATGAAGTCTTCTCGTCTCAGGACAACTGCGGCTCAGCAAGCTTGCTTGGGACCGTTTTGCTATGAAGCCCTACTGCGGCTCATGTTTTTTAGGGTTAGGGTTTATATACGAATTTATGCAATGGGACCTATGAACCTACTCGCACCAGCCTGCACGTATACGGTTTAGAATATTACTACACTAAAGGAGAATCCAAAGGAGAATCCAATGGCAAAAGGAATGGATACTGAGTTCATGTTGATGGTTTATAGGGATTAGGCTACATGGACTTTTCTCAGGACTGCAGGTATATTACCTTGCTGCGAGGGAATCTCACCTTGTCCAGCAAACACAAACTCTAAACTCCAAATCCCCAGAATCCGAAGCTCCACATCCCTAAATCCTAGGTGCTATTCGTGTGAACTCTGTAAACCCACAACCCCATGAATGGGAGATGCCATCTCTACCGGGCCAGCTGCAATCCACGCTGCGGCTGTCTGCTGAAGAGGAGGCCCCTAGCCCTGCTGCTTAGAAGGTTTGAGGGTGTCTAGGGTTTGGGGATTAGGATTAGGGCTTGTGCATTCTAGAACTCGGGGTCTAGGGTCCATGTTTTTAGGGGAGCTTCTCGAAATTTCAGCATCCCGAAGGACATGGAGTATGAGGGAAGCACGGGTATCCTTATGAGGGAGTATCCATGGCCCTGAACAGGGGTTCCTATGATGGTACTGGGATCCTTTGGATTGTTGATCCAACTTGTGAGTCCTTTTGGGGGTCCCTGTGTGAGGTTGCCGGCATGTTTCAGGTTTATGGTGTAGGGTCAAGGTTGTGTAGGGGTTTAGCCTTGGGTCTAGACCCTAAACCCTAAACCCTAAACCCTAAACCGCCTAGGGCTTCAAGGGAAGCGGACGAGGCAAGGCGTCTCTTTCTCCACTGCACAACGGAGGGGCAAGGCTACCACAAGGCCATTTGAACTATAACCTAAACTCCTTAAAGGGGGGTTATATCGGGGAATATATAGGGGACTGCTATAGGGGTTATTAAGGGGGATACTAGGAGTTTAGACTATAGCTCATTTGAGCTCGTCCTTCTGCTTTTCGCGAAACGTTTGCAAAGCAGCAGCCCAAAGATATGGAAGCTACGTTCACAGGGATTCTGTCAAAATTATCAGCGTGCCTGATCTTTGGATTTGGATATACCGTTCTGTCAAGAACGAGAGAATGGAGCTGTTTTTGGTGAACCGTTGTCAGATTCTTATTGGGGCTTAGCGGGAATAAGGGAATATGTTGTATAGGTTATAGGGATTATATAGGGATTATCTCCCCTTATTCCCAACTAAGCCGGGCCCCAAACCCCAAAGCCTATCTATATATACATATATATATTCCCTCAAAGCCTAAACCTTTCAAGTACTAGTGAGAATTGTGGGTCTGAGATTGGACCTAATGCCGTGCTCTCGTCTGGACAAATGAACCCGGCAAGCATGCAAAGCCGACCTGCCTGAAATTCACAGCGCATAACCCCAAATTGATCTACATAACCTTTTTGTTTCATATTGAACTGCTTGTCCAAGTCTCCGCGCGAGGATGTTACTGCATCGGGGCCGCTGGGACCGGCCATGGTGCTCCTCCCTGTCCCCAACGCTTACCCAGAAGCTACACCCATTGGAGCAATACTAGGACTATATCGGGATAATGGGGATTTTAAAGGGATTATAGGGAGTTATATGTGGATAATTATAGGAAGCTACCGTACAGCACTTTTAATGAAAGTGGCTTAGTGTTGTGCTGGAGATTCATAGAGGTCCATACTAACTAACCTAAATGGGCAAAAACTGCTTAGCAGCCTCTGTCCCAAAGGGTCCATGTAGGTATATGGGATATACTTGGGCCTTAAATTAGGTATATGGGAACCCCTTTGGGTAAGTATATACCATATACCTACATGGACCCTTTGGGTGTGAGGTAAGGTCTCTAGGGGTGACTGCATCTTTTGTGGTTTGGGTGCAGAGGCTGGAGGTTTGTCAGGGCTGTTGGTTAGGATTCTGTCCATGAGGATCATTTCGGTGAGCGGTTGAGGGCTCTTTCTGAGAGCCTTGTATCCAGCACAACGTAGCCTCGAACAGCACTCATCGGCCATACGATGCTCAGCAATATGCTCAGCATGTAGAGCTTCAATGTAAAGTTTGAAATGGGATGCAGAGACGGACTCCTGCTTTTCAGATCCGCGTTGGGAAGTGTTCAAGTCTTGGGCTGAGGGGGCTCCAGCTTGAGGGGTTGGGCTGTTCCTCTCTGTTGAGAATGGGTTTCCCGGGTTTTGACAGTGACGAGTGCAAGCTCTGCACTCTGATGAACTGGGCATCCTCGAAGAACTGACTTGCCTCAAGGTCGTGCCGCATGACATGCTACGGTAGTAGGATTCTGCAGGCATCCGGCTCAAGTGTTTTTCGGCCTTGCCAGAGCACATGCATGGAGTATCAAACCTTGGTCAACAGTACGTGGACACTGCCAGCCAGCTTCAGCATTGCCGCGATTCTCTGACATGAATTGCCAACAGAAAACAAATCTTTCATTAGCAAGTGCCAACCATCCAGATCTCAGAGATCACAAGCCAGAACTCAATGCAGCTTATCCAGACTTGAGTAGGCAGCAGACATCAAAAACAGGTTCCTTAGATTGTCCAAGTTTGTAGATACAGTGTAGAGCCTTGTCGCTCAGAGCCTCCAGCCCCGGTAGCTCCCATTTGAGGACTTCGACCCTGACCGGGCTCCCAACAGAGCTACGTGCAATCATTTCCGCCTTTGGCCTTTTTGGTGAGCCATGGCAAGCCGATCAGAGCGAATAATTGCCTGGTTGCTTGGCGTATGAAAGACGGGCGAGCTGAGGGCTTCGGACTGTAGCCGCAGTCAGATTTCCATCCTGTTTGAGGGTACCCAAAGGGTCCATGTAGGTATATGGTATATACTTAAGGCCCAAAGGGGTTCCCATATACCTACTTTAAGGCCCAAGTATATCCCACATACCTACATGGACCCTTTGGGGTAGTATGAAGAGCCAGCTGCTATAGAAACGTGGTAGCTCAGTTCCAAGGGCTGCTGACAGGTGCCTAAGTCGCGCCTTTCATCGACATCTCCATTTCAAGCTCCGGGAAGTCCTTTCAGAAATTCACGCTGAGGATAGCGTTCGTGTAGCCTGAGACCGTTGGAAACTGCAAGCATGTGTCGCCAAACTAGAGATTCAGATGCAGTTTCTTTCTGAATTCAGGACCAGTTCACGAAGTTTCTTCGATGTAGCATGCTCTCGGTTCAACTTGGATCTCCAGAAGGGCACAATCAGCCGCGCTCCCCCAAAACATCCTCACCCAAACTTCTCCAAAGCAAGCCCTGCACCCCAAAAAGCCCTGCACCCAACACCCTTAGCCTGCCACCCATCCCATGGAGGCCAATTCGCGATCTGAATTCAGCAAGCCCCAAGCCGGAAGCCGAGAACTAACACGTGTCCCCAAAAGCGAATGTGCAGGTTGAAGGTGACCAACAACCAGAAGCTGCTCGAACTGCACTGCAGTCAGGTTTCCGACCCCGAAAGACTGGCCTGTAGAAGACTTCTTACAAACAGGCATAGAGTTGTTTGGGGGCATTCCCCCCAGGGCCTGAAACGATGTTTAGGAGGGGCTTTGTGGTTGGCATTCTCTTTCTTGTGTAGTATCGCAGAAGGGCCGAGACGACTAATCTTTGCTTTTGGTGTTTGTTGTTCCTTGTATTCATACATTTACCCCCAGGCTGTCCGTGGGCTTCTCCTCCAATAGTTGACACACAAGTTCCATCAGGCAGTACTCTTTTCAAATGAAGGTGTGGGAGCCCCTATACCCTCCCCCTTTCGTACCTACAGCGTGGCGAGGTTTCCGACCCCTGCAGCGTCTTGCAGGGAGTGTGCGGTATCATGGCCTTCCCAACGAAAATGCTCGCGGCATGGGGACCAATTGAAAAACGCGCTCGAAGTGGAACACGTGTTGAACTACAAGGTCTTCACGCCTCTCACAAGCTCATAACACCACTTTCAAGAGATGCACCAGGTGCCTCCTGTCTAGGAGTCAGCCCCTATTCCGTGCAAAGTACTTACTATTTGATTGCTAGGACCCCTGGGAGAGTTGACATGCTTCCAGGAACCTGGCGCGATTCGTCGGACCTGGGTTCTACTGCTTTGCATGGGATGTAATAGTAAACATCACATGCCGTGGAACCTCCTCAAGAGTCTTTCTGAGACCTGCTGATGCAATTGCTTTTGGGTTCCTGGCCGCGACGTAGACAGAAAGCCCAAGAAAGTGAGGCAGTAGCAGGTCTCTAGCCGATTTCGCATGACTTCACACCCCTGCGCCAGGAGGGATGTCTTTCTGCGGGCTTACGTTGTTGTCCATGAAACGGGTCACGCCTGGCCACGTTGGTCTCATCGAGGCCGATGTCAGGATTCTGATCAAATTTCTCAACCTTGACAGCTCAGGAACTTGCCCGTTGTTTTTTCAGTTTCAATTTCCTGCATGTTCTGGAGGGCTCTGCGCTTTGCGATTTCCTGTTTAATTACATACACTGCAGGTCCACATACAAGCCCTTAATGGCCGCTTAGAGCACCTAGAGTGTAGCCTCATGGCGAAAGTCATGCTCAGTCGCCAGCACCAACTCTTTGCCTCAACTGCTGGGCATGCTGTGCTGTAGACCGGATTTGTGACCTCCATACCCTGAGCCATTCTACAGGCACTGAACAGGTCTTATGAAAGACTGGCGGCAAAGTGGACCCTGAAACCAAAACCCTAAACCTTAAATAGTAGTTTACATTTTCCTTTCCATTATCCCTATATAACCCTTAGCCCAAAAAGACCCAAAGAAGCCAACAATTTGGGGAAGAATAGTGTTCCCCCAATTGTTTGGGACAAACATCTTACCCCCAATTGGTTAGTTTGAGCACAAAATTGCATTAGTACGGGCTAATCCAGCAACCGCTACCCCAAATCTCGCATATACCCTATGTAAACATTTTGCCTCGGTCAGTAAATCAGATGGGAGAGAGAGCCGACCTAAGGCTTACAGAGCGGACGTATTCTTTAGAGGTGCATAGTACATACCCAAAGGGTCCATGTAGGTATATGGTATATACTTAAGGCCCAAAGGGGTTCCCATATACCTACTTTAAGGCCCAAGTACATCCCATATACCTACATGGACCCTTTGGGATAGCTCGTGGAGCCAGGGGCCCAGGCATATTCAGCAATCATAGACGGCCACTTCCCTGATGGACCTTCGCCCGTCGCATCCCCTGCAAGCGCCAGGCATTACTTCATCAGTCCTCAGTATGGGATCCTCAAAACTCACGCTTGCATGGGGGTTTCATAAAAAAAAATGTTTACCTTTTTGGGGTGCCGATAATGAAGACTATCGTATTTTGGGCTGTATATGGGGGCCCCCCTATTTTGGGAAACTACCACATCACTTCCTGGACATTAAGCCTGAATAATTGAGCCTGCAACCTTCAAGCCCAAGAAGCTCATGCTTTGTCTGCGTGTGTTCTATTTGCAACAGGATTGGCAAGGAACTCTGCGACCGAAGCTGGGCCAACATGGCGTAGGAGCTTAAACGGAGGAATGGTTCGCATAAGCTTGGGGTCAAAAGCCTCTGTAAACACTGATAATTCCCCTGCTTGGTCAATGCAAGATTTATACTTTCCCATTTGGGGACGTGGAACGTTGCTCCAGGCGGTCTGTATCATCATGGCATACTACACTATACCTTGCTATGCTGTGATATACTATACCATAATTACCATGCTAGACAAGACTTGCAGTACACAGATTTTTTGCAAAGCTGAGCTGACCAGATTCCTACCTCAATCTAAGTATAGACATATTTCTCGGCAGTGTTTAGAGGCATGTCACTTGAATGTCTTTCTACAACGAAAAAAGCACTTGAGCAAGGGTAAGTGAGTAGGTTTTCGGGTATATACCGCCCATAGTAATTACCGGGTCGACCTTTGCGGTTCTTTACAACCAGCAACTGGCAACCGGTCGGTCAGAATGTGACCACAACTCAGAAGCAACGTCCTGCCCCAAACCCTAGAATCCTAAACCCTAAACCCGAAAACCCTGAACCCTACTCTCCAAAACCTTAACATCACTGTGAAATAGGGGGACGTGAGGTACATTTACGATGACAGCCAGCTCGTTCTCGCCATCCCGCCTTGCGGCTCCAGATAGGGGTTTGGGGTTTAGGGTTTTGAGGTTCTCAAACCTCTGGATATTTTGTATTTGCGCTGGGCGCTCTGTAGATTATGGGCATCCGTTAACATTCATAGCACTTTGCGTTGTGGCTATTGGGACGAAGGGCATGGAGTTCTGGAGTTCTACTTCTGACTTCGCGGGGGAGGCAATCTCGCACAAGAGTTGAGATGCAGGGCTTGGTGATTTCTTCACGCAGTGTACCTGGAAAATCGTTTCTGAGCACTGGTGCTCTCCACCAATGTGCGGGGTACGTAGCTTAGCAAGCCCCTCATGTTGACGGGGGCTATGCAAGCGCATTAAGCTCCATGCACCCACGGGCTTGTTCGCCAATGGCGAGATCCCTACATTGCTGCCCTGCCCCGGACACCAGGTTGCTTAATTAATCCATGACATTGGGACTATCATTCTGAAATGTTCAAAGGCACGCTTCCTACTTGTGACAAGCTGCCACAAACAGACACCGTAGTCCCTTCAATGCGTATTGAGAATCACAGCCAAAAAATCGGTTTAGCTTTATGTCCTTTGCGGGCCTCAATGGAGGAAGGCTAGTGATTTGCACAGTGCGGGGGTAATTAAGCTAAGGTTTGTGGGAAAGATGCGGGGCATCAATAAGTAAACCATCTTGAGTGGCGGTCGCCTCCTTCTGACAATCTTTTTTCTGCTTGTTATCCCATCTTTTTTCTGCTTGTTATCCCACGGACGTTGACGTACAAAGCGAACAAATTGCCATTCCAAACCCCACATGCCACAAGCGTTTCGAAGGGTTAGTGCCCGAGGGCCAGGCACATAGTCCAGCTGCCGAGGTTTTGGCACCGCCTCATCAACATGCGGCTCATTCCAGTCCCCTTGCAGCAGTGGGTTTGAGATTTGGGCGCCTTATAGAAGGGTGGCTGTCAAAACGGAGGTCCCCCTCCAGGCACCTTAACTATGTTATGGGCCGCATTACACTTGCACTCCCCTAGAGGTAAATGACATCCATTCCCTCCCCCTTCACAATCACCCGGGACATTTCTTGTTAGCCCTCTCTTTTCTGCATGTAATGGAGTCCTGTTGAATCAAATACAGGATACCCTCATTCCAATTGGAATCCCCTTGCGATTCTTTGGACTGGCAGTTCTGCAGCAAAAAACACCTATAGAATAAACGTCCAGAAAAACGGGAGTTTCATTACACTTTGTTTTTTGGTACAAACGTCCTGTGTGAACTTGGCAAAAGTCAGAATAGAGATAGAAAATTAAGGAGACAGGAAACTTGCAATTCGACTTGAAATTCTCTAGACATTGTGCGCAATGTCCTTTATAATTATGGTGTATGTTCTTCTACTTCAGTTGGCGCGTTTCAACCGAAACTAGTAGTATTTATCTTGATTATGGAAACCTTGCGCAAGGACAATGACAACATGAGAAATCCTGAAATTCCAACAGTCTAGTCAGATTTCATTCAGTTCATTTTTTCTACATGCCTGTATACATACAAAATGTGAAACGAAAGAAAGAATGAGGAAATACCAAAGATCCTGATTTTTCCTCATATAACTACCCCCCCAGGCCCCGAATTGCTTCAAAAGTATTCCTTTATTCACGACTAATAGCCTCCTAATTGATCCCTTTCGAAAGTAGTCTTCTCCGTTTGAAACTAATCTTTCAGAATTGTTTGCCTTCGCGCGGAGTGATCATGATTATACGCATTATTCTGAGGGAGACGCATAATCAGCACCTCAAAAAGGGACCAACCATTTGGATAAACGACCACGTCAAATTCAGAACCCTCAGCCCTAAACCCTCAGATGGCGCATCTCCCCTAGACCCTAAACCCTAAACCGACCAAGGTTAAGAAGCGCTATATCAAGGAGTTCAAGACCAAGGCGTGCCCGTGGTTGGGCCATACACGGGCTTGTAGGGGCACGTATCGATATAGGGATATATATATAGGGATTTTGGGGATGCCGGGATATCTAAGCTATCAAAGGGCAGTTTTACGGTCTACGGGTTATTATTGGAAAAGAAAGGGGAGACTGCTATATCATTTTGCAGGTTTTGGGTTCTGGGGGGTGGTCAGTAGGGAACAAAGGAGGGTTCCCGGTCCCTTCATATTAGTCCCTATCCCTCATATACTCACAAGTTCCCTACGGGCCACCCTAACCCTAAAACAGTCTACATACGTTGCAAGTTCCACAGTTTTTTCTCCCTTCTTACCCCAGAAGCCGCCAGTAAGAAACAAGGACGAGATGCAAGCTCTGCAAAAATAGTTGGCCCACAGAAACACGAGCTTACCACTTCAAATCTTCTGTGAATCCCCAATGTTTGCAGTACCATTTTCATTTTTTGGCAATTATTTCACTTACTTATGAGGTACAGGTAGGGTCTAGCAAAACTCGCTGTACGAATCTGGACCTGACTCAACACTCAGGTGTCTCAAGTATGCACATGTTGAATCTGAGATTTTGGACAATGAGGGTCGGGGTATGTCTGGTTCAACCTAGTCTTTTCAGATGTATGAATACGCGCTGAACCGACGTCGTGACATGTTCTTACAAAGTCTTCGCTTCGTGTACTGGCAAGCATGAACAAATGATAAATGTCATCGCAGTTGCAGTGCAGCCAAGAATGTGCCACAATTCTTTCCGACTTCTGATCACGGCAAGAACTCGGACTGTAGTATCTGCACACCAACTCCCCAACCCCATCACTCGCATGCTCGAGTACGTAAGACTGCATCAGTCGTGCTTACCCCACAGCTAGGAGTTTTCTGGGCCAAAATGCAAAGCGTTTTCTCAACAGGATTCTGAGGAGACTGCAGAAAGAGGTTCCTTATCAGGGAGAAGGGTACAGGTGTCTGTAAGTAAGAACAGCGCCATGTGAGGGAGTTTCTCAAAGTGCCTCTGTTTAACTGCAATCGACAAGGAGGATCCTATGATCCGATACATCCCCAGGACGCCTACGGTGCCCTTTTTCAGAAATCCTCATGGAAGTACTCGTGAGGATGGACGCGACGTGGAGGTTCGACTGGTATGCCGGCTGCAACCGAAGGTTCACTGGGTACCGGAGATCTACTACAAGTTCGGTGCCCCAGCTAATTTCAGCGAAGCACTCACTCAGAGGGTTGCGATCCGATGGATACAGGCTTGTGGCTCTAGGAAAATGCCTGTTCATCAGAAAGTTTACCGCTCTTTGCCATCTCACGAATTGAGCGCCCCAGGTTTGATTGCCTGGCAGCTCTTCACTCTTGCTAAGCTAATTGGCTGTACTTTGTTGCAGCAGATGCACGACCTTTCATTGTGCAGGTGCCTGCATGCTTCTGCTGGTTGTTGCATTGACTCCACCATGCAGCATACATGGAACGCAGAGTAGCGAAATTGCTTTCGTTGCCTACAGCGGGCAACGCATTGATACGGACGGCGTGCTGCTTCCCTAATCTTTCGGTTCAGGGTTTAGGACCACGGCATTGGTAAGTCAGGACGTTCTTCCCTAAGTAGGGACGCCAAGATACCTAAGCGTGAAACTCCCCACTCCCAAAGCGCCACACCCCCCAGGTAGTGCCTTGGTATATTAGGGATTTATGAGTATGTATTCTTAGGGGAGTTTTTTGTTCTCAGGGAGTGGTTTGTACATCAGGGCAGTCCACATGTTGCTCGACTGATCCAGGAAAAGCTTTAATTGATACACCGGTTTGGTAGGTCCGCACATGATTGAAGTACCCCTAAACCCTAAACCCCAAACTGAAGTATTGTTAGGGGGCGCATGCAGGCAAAGACTATGGCAGAGGCTTCCTGGAGAAGGAGGCAGGATGAAATCCGCTGAGGAGTTTGTAACAACTGAGTCGCATGCTAGATAAGGATGCTGTAAGGGTTTAGGGTTTAGGGCTGTTGCAAAAGGGTTTTTGTAGTCCACAATGAAGAGGAAGAGTACATTCTCCTTCCAGCTGCAGCATGTTGAGGAGAAATACCTTCACTTGGTTCGTCCATGACCCAAAACACCAGTCAACTCACCTGCCAACTTGTTTGTTCTTTCAAATTTCTGAAAGATTCTCGAAACGATCCTTAAGGACCCGGCACCCCCCTCTCCTTCTTGAGTTCCTGAGAGAAAGCCCCAAATGGGGCTCAAGCAAGGCCTTTGGATAGGTATTACATGTGGGTGCCTAACATCGCCCTGAGGCTCCATACCCCAGTTCCCAAAGGGTCCATGTAGGTATATGGTATATACTCAAGGCCCAAAGGGGTTCCCATATACCTACTTTAAGGCCCAAGTGTATCCCATATACCTACATGGACCCTTTGGGGTTGCGGTTGTTTACGGTTTAGGGTTTCTAGGGCTTAGGGAATCGGAGTCGCGAGGCGGTCCTTCAGACCATGCAGGGATGCAAGTCCTAGGCTTCTAGGGTTACGATCCAAAAGGGTGAGGGTACCTATGTAGGATATACTCAACTTCATGCCCAAAGAGGTTCCTTTCTGAGTGCTGTGGGGCCTATAAGTACACAGGATTTGGATATTCGGACCCTGTGCGAAGAGTCCCCAATGCCCCTAAAGCCCTGAACCCTAAAACCCCAAACCCCTAAACCCTAAACCCCAAAACCCAAAACCTCATCTTCGCGTTGCCAAGCAGGCGAGCGTGGACATTTCGGAGGTGGTGAAGCAGCGAACGTTTGCGGAGTTGGTTAAGGGCTCGGAGGACGGATGCCACCCACACGTTTTGTGGTTTAGCGTTTAGGATTATGCTGGGACTCCCCAAGCGAACATTGGTCCTCTACAGTGTTAGGATGAGACTCCCCCCCAACAAATTTTGGTCGATTAAATTCAATGAATCCAGGGTTTTCGGGCTTGATACAGCTCAGGAACAAGGGCTTGACATTATGATACATTAGCCCACCACCAAGAAAATGGGCCGTGCAACTTCGGACAACAAAGGCCTCCCAAATGAATCAGTAGTTTCGGCCAAACTTCGCACAATTAACGCCGCCCTCGCTAATGGGGACTTGAACTTAGCTCCAGCATAGCCAGGAAATGTTGCTTCAAGGCTTCCATCGCATTTCGCTGAAGAGCACATCGCTTCGTATGGCTTTAGCAGGCATCAGGTTTGGCTTGTGCAGTAGCTGCACATATTTTCAACGCTATCTTTGAATCGCATACGTGGTTAACGCGCTTCCATCCTAGCAGTTTGCTACTTCTGTCAGGTGTTGCGGCGTACTTGTTCGGGCCCGGACGTCATCCGCACAGTTGGATGCCATATTGAAAGACTGGGTTGGCACAATCCAGGGAGTTGAGAGATGTTTTGTGTGAAGCCAGATTGTAGCCAGGCTTACATCAGCGCTCTCAGTCGGAACCTGCGGAAGTTCCAAGTGAAGGGTCTCGGAGGCGCTCAGCGAATTTGACGAAGTGCGTATTCTGCAGGGCAGTTCCAGACATGATTTAAGTTTCCATGAGGCCCTAAGTTTATACCTAGTACCTAATGAAGGATCGTGATGTGGCTGCCAGAGCCGACACCTCTCAACGCTGTGGGTAAGGTAGTAAACGCGGGTGCCGCACGCAGTCTCCGCACAGGCTTTCATACAAGGCAGAAATCCATTGGGGGGAGTAGCCAATTGCAACAAATGGTGTGAAAAGCTGCCCACATAAAGCGCTTAGCCTTAGCCTTCATCCAGAACCTCAAGCCCGAAGCACAAAGCCCAGGAAGAACAAGGTATCCTCTTACATACCCCCCCAAAGTACTATAACCTCTTATCATGGGACCTCCCCAAAAAGGGACCACCAAAGTTAAGAAACAACCCTAAACCCTAAACCCTAAACATTAGCTCCCAGGATGACGTAGAGGCCATTGTTGAGGAGATCAACCAGAGGATTTCCGATGCCTGCAACTTCCATAAGATCAAGCCTCCTGGCAGCAGCTTAGGGGTTGCAGGGTGAAGGGTTTATTTGATTTGGGTCTTGGGATGAAGGTTTAGGTTCAGGGTCGTCGAAAACTTGAAGTTCTATACTGCGCTGGCAGAAGAAATTTCGAGTGGTCTGATGTAGATCAGGTCGGGACTTCAGGTAGGCTGGGAGGTGGCTTCAGCCCCTCATACAAGAACAGCCCCGTACAGGCATGAAGGGGCTGATCCTGTGTTGGTGTTGATTCTCATTGCCCAGGGCAATTGAGGGCCATAGCCAGAGCTTGGAACAAGTCACGGATACCATAGGGGCTTCAATGATACCCTGTACTGCTCAGGTGCTCTTTACCACAAGACCAGCTGGGCAGATTACAATGAGCGCAAATGAGCTCACCCCTTTTTGTAGCTACTACTGGGAATCCCCTTATAACCCGAAACCCAAATTCAGGATGATGAGCCATCATAAGCCGCTCAGATAGCTGGGTCACAGGAAGCCACAGGTGTCATATGGGTCATTTTCAATATTATGGGCCCCTTGTGGTTATAGAGTATATTACGGCACCTAATATCTAGGGGTACAAGAATGGGACCCTACTTTTGGGAAGTACCTATTCAAGTGGCTTCCCGGGGAATTCCTGGAAACCCTGGCAAGGACGTCTAATGCCTCTCCCCAATGGGGGTTAAGGATGTAGGGTTCAGGCAACGGTTTCCACTGTAGTAAGCATTGGGACGTTCAGGGCAACTATAACTCAATTATATACATACTTCTAATGAGCAGCCTAAGTTCTCTGGAACGGTTCAAATTGAGCTATGAGTGCCCGTTATAACTGGATGATGACTACTGTTAAGCAACCATGTATTTATATAAGTCCTATATACTCCTTTACGTAAAAACTTGTAAGTTGGTTATCATTACCCTGAGCCTCCAAGTAGTTTGGCAAAGGTCCAGCCATATTCGTTATGAAGTTCGAAGCCTGAACAATCGGAAGTTTATGCCTTTATGCTTTAGGTTTAGGGTTAAGCGTTTAGGAATCTATATTGTATACTGACTCCTCTTGTATGTATCTCTACGTCCTCAATACCCAGCAAAACAATAACCTTCGACCCCGACAAAATGGGCATGTAGGTTCTTATTATGGGTACTTGTGAGGCCAGGGTAGGATCACTAACCCTAAACCCTAAACCCAAACTTCTTGAGGTCGGGGTAGCGGTTCAGCCCTCCGGTCCAGGATGTAGGGCTCAGGGTGCATGATTGTCCTGGTTGAGTAGCAATAGTAGTTTCCATTTTCTTTTTCATTTTTACTACAAATAACCCTCATATGACCCCTATTATCCATATTTCCCCCTTAATAGCAAGTGCACTCACACATCAGACATGGTCCGACCAAGAGGAAATTTTGTCAAGACACGCTGCATAGCGTGTCTCTCCAAAATACGGACGCACTCCCCCACTCCCGGTTAGCTGCCGGCAAGTCGTGCGAGGATTGCGAAAGATGAGACATCCATCGTCTTCCTGGACCCTGAGGAGGATGACGAGTAGGCGCGTGCTTGGTCGTTGAACAAAATGCAAAATAACTGCCCCCAGCATTGTCATAAGGTAGTTGCCCTTTTGGTAAGGACCTATTCATAGTTTGCCTCAAAAATCAAAGGACCTTCAGAGAAATCCCCATCCTGACCCTTCAGAACACATTGGAAAGCTTGAAGGGGTCATCTGGTTTGTCTAGCGGTTCTGGCGGAAGTACATAGGGCGGTTTCCAGAGAGAGAGAAAGAGAGAGGGGTCTCCACGATAAAGCGTTGGTGGCCTTTTTTTTTGGAAGCCCGCATGTAGGACGGAGACACGGAGTATGTGGTGCCTTCAGGCTTTTCAGAAAGATGAGCTTAAAGATGGACAGATAAGATCCATGGAGACGGGGGACGATTTTATTTTGCTCCCTGTAGGTCTTTTACAGAAGGTTGTGCGAAGCAAGCAGGCCCCCTGAAGAACCACGAAGGAGTGTCACGTACCCAATTTTTTCAAAGGGGACCCTTGTAAGTCCTTTCCAACCCTCATGTCTTTTCAGAGTTCCCTGGGGCCCCCTGCGAAAAGATCACACAAGAGAGTTCGATGCTTGTGCCAGCTCAGGTTCAACCGAAAACATAGCGAGGTTTGAAGTAGGGTTGTTTGCTACGGTTTCTGGTCAGTGTTCCTCTGGAATATTGGAGTGCATATCTTTGAAGTCCAGCTTCGCGGACTTCAAACCATCCGACAGTTTTTTCGGCTGTGCAACGGAACCTTTGAGCCCAAGGCCCAACGTCCTGAGCTAAGGCTTTTTGATATCTCTCCAGTCTAGTGCTTTAATCCAGACTTGCAACCTCAATTACTTGCATGTTTATGGATTTCGCCTACCAAGTTGTACGCAGTTGGGGTTACAGGCGTGCCCTGGGAAGTAGTACTTGGTAGTAGACGTACTTGTGATGAGGCCAGTCGACCCTCCCGAACACTCTCGACCATGAACCTCGTGCAAGGCGGACGTCCTTGCTCTCGGCAACAGATCTCCGTCTAGCCTTGCCCTTGGATTGCACAGATGGGGACTGCAGAGTCACAGCAGTACTTGGATGTGCAGTGGTAAGCTCGTTATGAGTAGATAAGGGGATACGCACCCAAACCCCTACTGTTTTGTAGAAGCCTTAGTATTGTGGTGGACCTCAAACGAGATTGTTTATTTAGGCCTCTACAGTACTCTTGTAGGCCCGCACATACCATAGCCTAGGCATTCGCCAACAATACCCGGTGGGCGAGTTGGATGTTTTGTATTTCTCGGTTTCGCACGCGTGTAGATTCCAAAGGGTCCGAAAGACCTAGCACGACGGTCCCTTTATGGTTTGGATGATTCCGCATATGGCTACTCTGGGGATAATGATACCTAAAGACTTTGGGTGAGTGTATATGTGGGGTGGTCATGTGGGTGGTGAGCGTAGAAGATAAAACAGCTCACGTGTTTTTGTTTGTTTGTGGAGGTTTTGAGGTGATTCGAGGATGAGTATGTCTAGCCTTGCAACTATACTTGGAGTATCTGGAAAATCTCTAGATACATTTTATGAAGCCCCCTCTATACAGTAACCTTTGTATAATCCTTACAGAGGCCCTTTGTATAACTTTTGTTTAACCCCCCTGCGTAACTATACACCCCCGGCTATGTTTCAAAAGAGTCAACAGTTACCAGGATGGGGCCCCTCGGGATCGCCATTTTCGCGACTGTCGTCGTTTTTGACGGCTCAACGCCGCCATCCTCGTAACTGTCATCACTTTTAGCCGCTTGTGCTTTCGCCGCGTCTCAAAAGTACTAATACTTACAGGGATCGTGGTGGTCCTCATCGCGGTCCAGACAAGTGTCATCGCTTTTGATCGAAGATTCGTTTGGTTGTCGCATTTTCATTGAAGGTAGTCACAGGTATCCTGTTGGTCATCCTCTTTCAAAATTTCTTGACACCAATAACTATTCGTAAGCCTTCTATAAACCGTGTGCAAACCATTTTTAAAACACAAGACCCAGACCACAGGCCACAGGACCATAGGGGGGAGGCAGTTTAATTCTAAATTCGATTCTAGAATATTGCCACCATGCAAGGGGGGGTGCTCCTAACCCCAAAGCCCCAACCACACCACAGTGGGAGGGCGGAATCTAAATTTCCCTATATTTCCTACCCGGAAACCATGTAACCTGTACATAGCCTTTTGATGCTTGTGCTATGGGAGGTCACAAACAGTCTTCTGAAGAACCCATGAGCCGCTATAACGTTTGGGGGTTGAACGTTTGAAGGTTTGGTTTTCCGGGGCGGGAAATGGGGGTATGGACCCTCCGCCTCAGAAACACCTGGATCCTAATGTGGAGATCCCCATTTAAATAAACCTTACAGGAATCCTAAGTGGGCGCCACTGCTACCTAAACTTAAACCCTGAACCCGAGAGAAGCCCTTGCGCCTTCTGAACCCTAACTTTCCTTGATTCAAGGGGCTCCCAGTCTATGAAAGCTAACTGCCTCGGCTCCTAAAGTCTGCAGACAGTATCTGCTCTGGGTGTTGTGGATGTGAAGCCCTAAGGGTCCAAGGACCCAGATAATAGGGATTTAGGGCCAAATTCCATTAATATTATAATATTTGGGCCCTAAAGCCCTATTATTTGGGTCCTTGGACCCTTAGGGAAAACCAAAGCATTTCCAGGCGAGTGCTTTTCGACCGCTGCGTGCCGGGTACGGCCGCCGAGCGTCGCGTCTGCGTGCCAAAAAGCGGTTGGCGCTGCTCTGGGGATCAGGGTCTATAGTCCCTCTTCAGTAGAGGCTTTGCGTATATTAAAGTAAGGTCCCATATACCCCATATTCTATCTCATTCTATCTACTTAAGGGGGTCTATATGTAGATCTTATAAGGTATGTAGTTCCTTTTGTTGGACTCCTAGCTTCATGGTCAAGGTCCTTGATTCAGAACCTTGGTGAAGAAGGATTTGGAGGGCCTGTGTTCCAAAAATGCCTGCCTCTTCGTTTGCCCCCTGAACACGAGCATCTTCACATAACAAATTCGATCCGCAGAACTTCAGAACAACTCTCCTTCAATCCCTACATAAGCAGCCCAAAGCTCCGGCAGCTGCATGTCTTGATACTCTAGAAAGCCAAACACACCGCAACCCTGCCTAGACCTCCCAAATGCCCAGATTACATACCTGTCATTTTGGGGTTAAAGGTTATTGTTATTGGGTATTCGGGAGTAGGTAGCTTCTCAAAGTCTCAAATCTAAGGCGTTATATAATCCCTAAATTTCAGAGAAGCCCTACAGCAAGCGCAGCGCAGGCGCACGAGCGCTCCACGAAGGCTTCGTTGCCTTGGGTATTTCTTGCAACGAGCTTCCACCAAACCCCCAAGTGACATCAGTAGAATGGAGGGCTGCAGTGCTCAGGGCGTAGGATACCCTAATTGCCTATGTACCTAATACTCACATATTTGCCCAAAACCTGTATTATGATTACGAATACCCAAGGCCTAAGTCCTTGATTATTGGGTACTTGGACCCTCTGGGATGTAGACCTTCATGTAGCAACCCAAGCCCCAAGGGTCCAGATACCTAAATACATATGCTTTGCTTAGTTCCTAGTGTGCTTAGCGGTTTATGGTCTAGGGCGCATGTTTCAGTCAGGCAGTGGCATAGGGAGTTGGCAGAAGTGGTGTCAAATTCCGGGGCAAGATCACATGCAACCGAAAGCAATAATCTCAAAGTTGAATTTAGCAAAAGTCGAAGGAAAGAAGTGATTATGGGCCCCTAAGATGAGCCCTTCATCCTTTTCGGAGATTGTAAGGGCCCTCAAGCGTACAAGTAGGATATATAGCAGGTATATAAGGATCCCAGGGTTAAGGGCCCGTACCAGACGCCCACAGCTTCAACCATAGATTCAGAGAGCGCAGTAGGCCCAGTTACTTACACAGCAAGTTCCTGAGTAGTAGGTAATGCAACTGTATAAAGGGACTAGGGAACAGTATCCCATCATATGGGCACCTGCGCTTCTAGGATATGTTAACCATTGTTATCCCAATGTACTAACAGACTCTCGAATTGCCTCAACATCTAGGTATACTAGTAGTACCTTTTTGCCCTTTTTATTTGGGGGGTCTCCTTATTACAACTAAATATTAGGTAAAAGGGTATCCTGATTATTATGGGGTTACTGGGGAACCTAGAAATTTGGGATGATGGGATATGTTATGGTATGTTTTCAATGCGCGCAGAGTCTCGGCCAAAGTTACGAGGCTTAAGGGAGGCCCATGTAGATCTCATATAGCCCCAGTACCCTAAACCCTTATGTGGGGGTATCCACCTGGTAGCTACCCACCTGGGGGGGGGGGGGCGTCTTTGACTGAATGTCAGAACAGCATTGGAATTCAGATCTGCGTGCTCCCAATAACAACGGCCTATATAGGGTTTAGGGTTTAGGGCTATATCATATCATATATATAGATCATTTATTTGCACCTTATTTTGTGGGTATTTGGGGCAAGTTCACCAGGCTGACGGTCTGCATAACAGGTCATATCATCTGCAGCCGCTTTACGCCCTACACACCCAGTCTGTACGCCTCTTTGGCTTTCGAATAGCTTGAAGCGTGGTGCTTGCTTAGATGGACCGCATGTTGACTGCTTGGAGCCTGTACCTAGACTGTCCAGACCTTGCCATGAAGATTTAGGGTTTGGGGTTTAGGGTTTAGGGTTTACCAGACCCTCCAATGTAGTTCATTTTTGGGTCTGGTCTGGTTTTTCGGTTAGGATTCTTATTAGGATACCAGAAAGGTACTACATTGGAGGGTTTAGGATTTAGCTCTGAAATTCGGCACCGCCGTTCAAATCTCTACAAATCCTTCAACCCCCAACCTTATGTAGACCTTAACTCAAGAGTCCCAAGCCCTGCACATGACAGACCACCCCTCCCTGTGGAAGCCTCCCCAAATCTTGAAAGTCCTGAAAGACTGAGCTTTTGAGGAAGGCGTAGGGCTACCATCTGGGGCCATTCCCAACAGGC